ACACTAGGGCTCCCCGGACAGCCAGATGCTGACATGGAAAGGGTGCAGACACAGAGATGGTTGAGCCGCAGTCAAGTAGCCCCTCTCTACAGGGCACACGTAGGGAACCGCACACACTTGACACAGAATAAGCTCATTTAAACTGAGGCTTATGCCAACATATTTTACGCAGAGTGCATCACGGCCCCATTGCTGACAATAATTCATTAATGCACAGTAATTCATCCTCGAGGAATCACCCCTCCCTGTTCCTGGACCTGCTCAACGCATGCACCACTCGTCCACTTCAGCTCTCCTTGCTGGCTGCCATAAGGCGTCTCCTCTGTCATCTGAAACACATCTGCACAAATTATTTTCCTCACTACTCCTTCAGATTGGGATTAAATCATACCGTTTCAGGGCAATGCTTCATTAAAAAAATCTGTTCCGACCAGGCAGACCCTACAAAAACCTCGACTCTTTCCTTCCTGTCTGCTTGGATGCAACAAGTGCTGATTTGCACTTTGCCAAGTTGCTAGCGACTCATTTGGGTCCATCTTCCCTAAAAAGGAGATCCAACAGGAAAAAAAAAATATTTCTTTTAAAGACTGACATTTGCAGCAGATCAGCCTCCAAGCCTCCCCCCTTCCTTTTTTTTTTTTTTTTTCCCTCTCATGCAAAAAAGCCACCAGTTACCAGCGGATCAGCATGCTGCACCTCCCTGTCCTGAGGCATCCAAAAGCAAGAACAGGCAGTTCCCTTCGCTGGGTTTGCCCAACATATCTCCCTCTGCTTTCACGCTCTCTAGGAGACACGCACAGCCCAGAGAACAGATTCTCGACTCCTGCCTTTCCCTTCTGGATGTGCTTTCAACCATAAACAGCCTCCACAGAGCCGGACGGGACTGGTAACCACGCTCCAGGCCTGGAGGTGTCTCTTCTGCTGAGAGGGTTCCCCATCTCCCATCTGCACAGCTGAGGGTGGAGACAGGTTTCCACCTGACACCTTATTGATTTCGTGCGGGAAGCTTGGCAGCTTCACCCAGAGCTGAAGCCTTTTCAGCATTTAAACCGCTTCTGCTATAGAAGTCGCCTGGAACAGCTCTTCTGTGCAGCAAGTTCCTCGTCACCCTAAATGCTGCTATAGGTTTATCCTATGCTAACTTGCAAGATACGCTCCTGTACTGACGTCTTATTTCCTCTGTTTGCGAAAGCAGAGAGCTTGCTAATCCCTCTTTGCCCACGTCAGAATCCTAATGCTCTCCCCGGGCTTCCATCACAACTTGATAATCCTGGCTCACCCCCAGCCATAAGCACGGCTCCCTTGGGTTGTATGGAGAATTAGGTTTGAAATTTTTGCATGACTAGGGGGACGGACAAGGGCAAGACTCACTGTAGGGTCCTCTTAGTGCCCACCTGTATGGCTGCCGTGCCACCACCAGGCACGTCAGTGGTCCCAGGAGTCTCTCCAGCAGGTCAGGGAGGAGATACATCAGTAAAACGTGCTTTGGGGCCAGGAAAAAGAGCAGCAGTAGCCGCACGTGAGGACCAAGGTGGACAAGCAAGGATCCACTGGGTCTCGGGCTGCACCTAGTGCGGGTCTGTTAAATCAATTCCCTGATCACAGCTTGATTTCACACCTTCCAGTTGCTCCTCCTCTTCCCAACACCAGCTCTTTCCACCGTGCCTCCTTCCACGCCCTGTTTTTGAACCCCAGCTGGAGCTTCGAGCACACCACCCCTCTCACCTTCAAACCAGCTCTCCAAAATGCCGCACACTGCAAAATTGCAATTACCCCAGGCTTGTGGCAACATCGAGGCCATTAAACTGACCTTCCCTGGGCAGAGAGTCTGCTCTGTCCTTCACGGGCAGCACTGCGCACTGCTACAGCCCTGCGCAGGTACTGCTTAGGCAAAAGCTTCATCAATATTTAAAGATGAAGCCAGGAAGCCTGTAGCCCAAGCAGCTTTCAAGCCCTTGATCAGATCAATGTCAAACAAAAGGCTGCAGTGTGAGGATGCTCCAGCGAGCGAGGCCCAGACTGCAGGCTGGCTCGTCACCTCTCCTTCCCAAAGCTGATCGAGTTTCCCTCCTCCAGCCCCAGCATCCGCAGCTGGGACGGCTCCAGCACCAGCCCATCACACAGAGCTGCCCATAGCGCACACCAAAAGCAGCCCCAGTTTCCTCTTACTGGAGCATTTTCAGTTTCCAGCCAACTTCAGAAATTGGTGTTGCTACAATCCCCTTCACTTGCTTCGAATACTGCTTTGTTTTAATGCCAGCCACTTAAGAACAAAACATCTGAGGCTCAAACCATGGGGTCATCGGTTCCAGCATCCCGACTCAGAGCAGATGCTCCAGAGTAGCAAGAAAATCATAATGCACTTAGCAAGTTTGGCACTGCATGGGAGCAGGAGATCTTATTTCCCTTAGCTATAAATGTAACTGATCACAAGATTATCCGCAGCCCTTTTGCAGTTCAGCCACGCTCCTGGGGTTCCTACTCCCTGCAAGGCCAAATTTAGCCCTAGCTTCCAAGACATCCACGAACATACAGAAGTTGCCTCTTATTAGTCATCTTGGTTCTCCTGTATCAATTATTATTCAGATGCCAGAGAATGGATGGGAAAAATACCATATCAAGATAGAAACAAAAAATTAAAAAAAAGAGAATAATTACATCGAATGGCTAAAATCAGGAATGAAACACCTTACCTGACCTCAAGCAGTTTTGTTAAACTACTGTCTCCTTTTCCCTGTCAATAAGATGGGGATAAATTTACGTCCTTTCCAGGGAAAGGCGTGGGTAAGAGCTTGGAATACCTCAGAAGTGACCTACAGAGGGTAAGAGCATTCCTAGAGAGAAGCGTTTCTTGGAAATACCAGCAAATTAAGACTTTGCAAACAGTAGCGAGCGGGAGGACTTTGCTGCTTAATACCATTGTGGCTCTGGCAGTCATTTCCCCCTCTCTCCTTTCCCGCAACAATTCGCACCAAATCACTCCCCATTTCATCTCCTCCCGACAGAACGGCAGACAGAGTGTTTCGTCCCCACTGCATCAAATAACAGAGCCCCAGTGTCCAGGAGGATGCTCACACTCACACCCTGGGCTTCGGGGTACGGAGAAGGCAGACAAATCCTCCGCGACAGTGCCAACGCTGAAAATCCATCTGCTCTCCATCCCCAGACAGAGACAGCAGGAACGGATACCAACATCTCCTCCATCCCTAAGGGAGATATATTAGCTGGTTACGTAATAAAACTAACAGCATGGCGCTTCCAAGGACTACCGCACCGACAAAGCCCTTCCCCTTAATACCACTGGAGATTAGAGCAAATCGAAGAAGAGTGGAAACAAGGCAAGGGGCTGCGGGTGAGGTTTTGCACAGAGGAAAATGCTGCCGTCTCTCCCCTTAATGCATTCTAAATCCCATCTGATTTCCAACTCTGCTGCTGCTAAAAAAAAAAAAAAAAAAAGCCCAGCCTGCATTAAAATGATATTAACGCTGGGTGAGTGAGGTAGAGTGACTCAGGAAGGGTGTGGAGGAATAGAGTTCTATAGGGGAAGCATCCAGAGGAATCCAGACCATGAAAGCATTTTGGAAGCAGACCAAGAGGAGTCAGGGGTGCAGATCTCCTAAAGGACGCTAACGTGCTTTTACAAATCTGATTAGTTGCTGGTTTTGAGCATCCAGGGTCAGATCCTTCCTTCGATAAACACACATCACTTATCCCCCTCATGCCAGGCTGCCGGCAAAGCAGAATACAATGCAACCCTACTCTTCCCTCTCAATATCAAATGCATTCCCAGCTCTGAGGACAAGGTTTTCACTTCATTTCTGCTCCCTCTTCAGGCTGGCTGACTCCACAGCAAGAGACATTGAGTCGAACACGCCAAGTAAAATTACTCTTCCCTCCACTGTCCCGTCTTTGCTGCAAACTAAAAATTGATGTTTTAAAACGAGCGTGTTCCCTATAAGATGAGGATTTTGACGGTCTCGAGGTCTCATCTAGTCAGATTTCTGCTTTACATGCAGAGCAACAAGGTAAGAAGTCATCGCTCTGCCAGCTGACTGCACATGATTGTTCCCCCTTTGACAATCAGAGTCCAAACAGTCCCATCCTCAAGGCGACGTTTCTTTACAACTTCACACTTTGCATCCTTTTGGAGCTTATTTTGACATACCTCCTTCCATTTAATCGAAATAACCAGTGAGTTTCATCTCTGAACTTGGAAAGCATGGTAAAGGCATCAGGCAGAAGTACAACGCAACTGGAGGCGGTGGATGAGCACCAAGTAGACACGTCCGTACGTTCCAGTATCGTCTCTTGAACCAGTTGCTATGAACTTATGGTTTTATTGACTACTACCTTAGTTTGAATAACTGCAAAAGTCACCAGATTTGGCAGAAGAGACATCCAGATAACAGGTGAGAAATGCTACAGAGAATCCCTAGAACTAAAGCGATTGACTATGGTGGCAAGATGGAAAATAAAGCAGGAGGCAGACAACCCCAGGCTGACTGCCGAGCGGTGACTGGAAGGTGTCACCCAAGCAAAGAAGCGACAGTTGCTCAAGAACAGCCACCAAGCACACAAAAAAAGTCTTGAGAAAGGAAGGAAATGAGGGGGTAATAAAATGTTGATCATATTCTCTGCCACTTCACAGTGAAGCGTTTTGGAGATGAGTTTATTACGGCACTGACTAGTTGTGTTAGTTGACCAAGTCTGGCCCTCCCTGCGCTAGGCACTGTACAGATACAGAGTCGGGAGCAGTCTCCCCACCCAAAACTAAGGCTAAACAGCCAGCTGGCAGAAGGAGGAAAAGAGCAGAGCCACCAGCACTATGGCAGTAAACAAGAGGTTAGTGCTACCATTTTGTTCTGGGCTTTTAAGTCACAACCATCTGCAGTGAGACAGAACTATTTTACTAGCAAAAACTTGACATTTCAAGCAAAAGATGAAAAACTCCTAGCTAAGAGCAAAGAAAAAAAAAAAGAAAAACTTTCCAACAGCCTTACCATTGGCATCTTGGACTCCAGTAAGCGCTCCTACTGCTGCTGCAGTTTCACCAGATAGGACAATTTGTCCTCCACCTTGAAGAGTGGCTTCAGCAAGCGTGGCTACTGCATGGGCAGCTGCTTCACTGCGGGCACGGGAAAGGAGAAAGAAGAATTAGGAAGACCAAACGAACAAATAATTCCACTCCAGTAGCATCCATTTTAACCAGGCATTGCAAGTCAAGAAAACAAATCCAGAAAGGAAGTGTTCTTACTGGGCCCAGATGAAGTTATCCAGAGCAGCAAATCTACAGTGGAGGAGGAATACATGGGAAGAAGCCTCTTCCACTGGCTTTTTTCAGCTTGCAGACTTCTTAGTCAGAACATCCCTGCCTTCTTACCTTCGCTTCCTTTTGCGTGTGACTTTACTAAAAGCTTTTGGACAAACCAAGTAAATTTCTGGTACAAAATAATTTTTTGGCACTGTCACGTTCTGGGTCTCTACAGATTTTAGAGCTCTACCCTTCGCTACTGATTCAGCCAGCTCACCTTGCACTGAGAGAGGCCCGGAGGTTTACCATTACCAGGATCGCATCGGCAGCTCTGTATTTAGCTAAGATGGAGTATTTCTCCCCAGCCAAGTGGTTTAATAATTCTTTTTAATGAGCGATCAGTAGCTTAGCACAGTATTCTTAAATTTCTTCATACAAATGAGGTCAGACCAAAGATCCTTCTCGTGCAGCAACCCTGCTGTGAGAACAGCCAGTATCAGATATTTAGGAAGGAGCGTGTATGATCCTTCCCTTCCTACACCCTCTCGGCTTCCAACAATCAGCAGTGTATTGATTTCCTACATCAGGGACTGCATCTGGACCATCACGTTTGATTCGCCTAATCCCCTTTGATACTCATTTACACTTTTTGCTTCCACAACTTCCTGTAGCAATGAGTTCCCCATTTAATTAGATGCTGCGTGAAGAAAAATGGCATTCTGGTACTCCAAAAACTACTGCCTCAGTCTGGCTGGACAGCCCTTAAGTCTGATATTGTGAGAAACAGAAAATAACTGTTCTCTTTTTGTTTTCCTCACAATTTCATAGACTTCCAGTAATCTCTTTCCCAAGCCGAAGAGCCACAGTCCACTTACTGTGCAAGAACTCTTCTTGGCTTCTGATCACTTTTGTCCTTTCCAGACTTTTTTCTAAATGTAAGACGTCTGTTTGGGGGGGGTGACCATTTCTCACGCTATTCAAGATGTAGACACACCATGAGTTAGTCCAGGAGCCTAATCCTGGCTTGTTCTCTATGCCTTTCCCTATAATTCCTAATATTCAACTTACTCTTTTGCCAATATCTGCTCAGCAGTGATAAAACATTTATGGAGGATAGTCCCCTGAATGTTTTCTGAATGGTAACTGGTAGCATATAGTTAGCTCCGCATTGGGTATATAAAGGAGATATTTCTTTGTACGTGTATTGCTTTGCATTTATTGACATCATATTTTATTTGCCATTTAGTTGCACAGAGTGCTGTGAGCTTCCTTCAGCAGCTGTCCAGACCTTCTGGACAACTGTTAGCTACTTCTGGTGACCTACTGCTAGTTACAAAATTATTCCAAAGCCACCTCCTTCCTGCAGCTGAGTCTCCTACCCTTTCTTACCCTAATGAACTAAAAAAGTAGGTATTTTCTTTAGCACCTCCTGTGGAAAAGAGATTGAAGGAGCTACCTAGGAGCTTCCCCTAGGACACTCTTCCTTAAGTGCCCTGCTCACTCTGTGGTAGACCAACTGACTCAAATATTTTCCAAGTACTTCCCACTCATTCTTTCCCTTTCCTAATTTCCTGCTTTGATGGTATACGCTTTCCAACTGTATTCACTCAGGGTGTACTTTCATTTCTAAATAGCCCCTCTGTCTCTCAGAGTAGCTCTTAAACACCTCTACTGGACCAGACTATTTTCTTCTGCTTTCCTATTCCCTTTGGCTGATCTCTGTTCTGAACCTGCAGCTACGTGAAGGCAGTTATACTGCAGGAAAGCCAACTACAACACAGCAAACCCGGGCATCGGCACAGATTTACTGGTGTAACCCTGTTTCCCAGACTTCATGCAGCACTTATTTGAATCCACTTTCAAGGGCAATTGAGCATTTTAATAATCTGTTATGGTTGCATCCCTGAAAATAATGATCTGCGGCATAAAAAGCTTTTTCCAGTTAGTGTGCTCCACAAACATTAATTGGTTCAAATCAATGAATTAATTACCCACCTCTACTTTGTCCTCTTTTACAAGAAGGCCTAAGACTTCCCATCCTCAAATCTGACAGAGGTTGCATCATCCATCATGTCATGCTGTTGGCTCTGCGTGGGGCTATGATAGACTCTACACTCTGTCAGCAGCCATTGGAACAAGATTCAGGGATGGCAGCTTGCAGCTAAATTAGGCATAAAGTTTCCAAAGCTAGGATGAACCACCAGCTTTCAAGGATCAGAGCTTTGCTGAGATCTTCCTACTGGCAGCCTTACAGCCGAAAGCTACAGGGAGCATTTTGTGGCAAAGGAAAAAGTACACCTCTTCCACATGAAAGGGTGTCGGAGGATCGTCACCTAGAAAGGTCTCCAGCCCTGCCATGGTCAGTAGACCAAGAAGGTGACAACAAGCCAGGAAATAAAACATGAGGCCACTCATTCCCACTGCAATACTGCTACAGGAAAGAATAACCCCAGGCCCCAGTACAGGTTAGGGGTTGACCTGCTGGGAAGCAGCACTGCAGAGAAGGACCTGGGAGTCCTGGTGGACAACAAGCTCTCCATGACCAGCAGTGTGCCCTCGTGGCCGAGAAGGCCAATGGTACCTGGGGTGCATTAAGAACAGCGTGGCCAGCAGGTCGAGGGAGGTTCTCCTCCCCCTCTGCTCTGCCCTGCTGAGGCCACATCTGGAGTTCTGTGTCCAGGGCTGGGCTCCCCAGTTCCAGACAGACTGGGAACTACTGGGGAGAGTCCAGCCGAGGGCTGCAAGGATGAGGAGGGGACTGGAGCATCTCTGGTATGAGGAAAGGCTGAGAGACCTGGGGCTGGTTAGTCTGGAGAAGAGAAGGCTGAGAGGGGATCTGATCAATGCTTATCAATATCTAAAGGGTGGGGGTCAGCAGGATGGGGCCAGACTCTTCTCAGTGGTGCCCAGTGACAGGACAAGGGGCAACGGGCACAAACTGGAACACGGGAAGTTCCATCTCAATGTGAGGAAAAATTTCTTCCCTCTGAGGGTGACCGAGCACTGGGACAGGCTGCCCAGAGAGGTTGTGGAGTCTCCTTCTCTGGAGAGATTCCAAACCCGCCTGGACGTGATCCTGTGCGACCTGCTCTGGGTGATCCTGCTTTAGCAGGGGAGTTGGACTAGATGATCTCCAGAGGGCCCTGCCAATCTCTATCAGTCTGGGATTCTGTGATACAGTCTTTGCATCACTCCTGAACTACAAGCTGTTTGAACAGACTTATCACAGGGCTTTCCTGGGTATACACAGAGCTGATCCTGTCTTGAGGCACAGTAGAGACTAAATGACTTGTTGAAGGCTCTTCCATTCATATTTTCTAGGAGACTCTCTTCAGTTCTAACAACACTTCTTTTTTATTAAAGATTCTGAATTTCCTAAGCTAATGCAGGAAAAGGAACTGCTCATTGCGACTGTAAGAGCTAAAACTAGTAGCAATGGGATGAAATTAAAATCAAAAGCCCACTGATGTTCTAGTCCAGAAAAACTTCGCAAAAAATACATAGAGAATTCTATTGCCTGGAAGTATGCAGGATTCAAATCCTGCAAGCTGGATTCCAGAAGACAGGGCTTTTTACTGCAATTCCATGCCTAGTTACCTTAGCTGTTGTTCTTACAGCATCCTAAAAAGATCACTTGCTTTTAAAAGGCAATTTTATAGTGAAACTATTAGTACAAAAGCCTACTTAACCAACAGTAGCAGAAAAGAACATATCTGAGGGACCTGAATCTGGACCACAAAGAGATAAAACAGTTCTAGGTGTGTTCAAGACTCAGCTGCAACAGCAGTTTGGAAGAAAGACGTTGAATTCCCCAAAGATCAAGGTGACTGCTTTAGTAATTTGTGTATATAACAAGGTCTCGGAGCTCTACTCTGACCATCAGCAGTGTGGACTTGTGCCTTGTCCTAACCCATGGCTGCTCAGTCAACAGCCTCTAGACCAGAATCCTGATTAGGATGAGGAAAACGTTTTGTCTACACCCCAGCCTTCCATGCTGCTGGGGCTGATGCCGCGTTTCCTACGGTCCTCCAGCTCTCTCAAGGTGCAGCTGTGGTGTACCACAGCCATTTCCAGTTTTTAAGAACAGCAGGCAAAGCTTAAGTAACTCACTGAAGCTGAGCAAAGACACTGCTTCCTGCTGCATGGACCTGTAGAGAACTACGCTGCAGATCTTGGTAACCTGAGTGCAAACAAAAATCTAACAGAGCTCATTCCAAGATGAAGAGGTGGCATTACTATTGCAGCTCATTCACCTTCTACTTCAGAAACACATTTGGGAGAAACCCCCAAAAAACTGGCCTCTGGAGGAGATTCTGATTTCTGAAGAGAGACCATCCTGCCACATGACAGGCAAAGTCAGCCTTAGCCTTTTAGTAAGAAACCACTAATAATATCGAGGGAGACCCAGACCAGCGTACTTAAAAGGTACTATTATCACATCATGACTCTTGCTCGCTTAGCAAGCTCAATTCTGTAACTGGGCCCTTAGTGTACAAATAAGATCATTTAGAGGGCACAGTTACACCCATCTTTTCATCTTTCAGGAAATTTCCATGTCAGTATTCTTCCATGGTTACAGTGGAAATCAGGAACTGTCCTGCAGATACCTGGGCATGGGCTGACATGGGAATTTGCTAAGGAAAAGCCTCTACTGCGACTGTACACAGTGGTCTTCGCACCATTCGAGTGAAAGCCTAGAAGAAAATGTCACGTGTGCATGCTTCAAGCCGCCATCTCTCACCCATACCTGTTGAGCACAGTATTCTTCCATGGTTACAGTGGAAATCAGGAACTGTCCTGCAGATACCTGGGCATGGGCTGACATGGGAATTTGCTAAGGAAAAGCCTCTACTGCGACTGTACACAGTGGTCTTCGCACCATTCGAGTGAAAGCCTAGAAGAAAATGTCACGTGTGCATGCTTCAAGCCGCCATCTCTCACCCATACCTGTTGAGTGCCATGGTAACAGTTGCTCCTTGTTGCATCTCCTGAGATGCTGCCACTGCTGCTTCTGCTAACGATGCCACCGCCTGTGTGGCCTCTGATGCCTGCGTCGTCTGGATAGTCATCTCACCACCCTGTAGCGTTGCCCAGTTCTGCTCCACCTATAAGGAAAAACAAAAAGAGAGGCCCTAGGATAGGAATGTTATGCCATGAATGCACAGTTGCTTCTTAAAATGAAGGAGCCAGATAGTTTCAAGAGGTCTTTGCAGAATCCTGCACACGCTCTGACTCTGAGAAAAAAAAAGGACAGGGGGAAAAAAGAGAGGAAGCCTGGGGTCCACCTGAGAACGTTGCTGGACCCTACAACCCTCTATCAGTCATGAGTGAGGTTCTCCAGTCAGCCCATGATTTTAGTTGCTGTTGTCCATATGTTCAGTCTCCAAACAAGAACTTTAGTTTTCTTACACACATGGAAAGCACACCCCATAAACATCTGTGAAGTCCCTCCACCTCCCACAAATCCCTCTTGTCCAGCCACGTCTGCAACAAAATAGGACAGTGTTGATTGTTGCTGTACACGGATCACTGCCTGCCAGCCCGGGAAGTTGATTAAGTAGTTGCATTTCTGCGGTGCTGGAACCTCGGTGTCGTGGTTTAACCTGGCAGGCAGCTAAAACAACCGCACAGCCGTTCACTCACTCCCCTCCGCAGTGGGACGGGGGAAATCAAAAAGGTAAAAATCATGGGTTGAGATAAAGACAGTTTACTGGGACAGAAAAGGAAAATGATGCTGATAATAATAATAATATACAAAACAAGTGATGCACAGCACAATTGCTCACCACTCGGAACTGATGCTCAGCTAATTCCCAAGCCACCCCACCTCCCGGTCCATTCCCCCAATTATATACACAGCATGACATCACATGGTATGGAATATATATCCCTTTGGCCAGTTGGGGTCAGCTGTCCTGGCTGTGTCTGTCCCCTCCCAGCTTCTTGGGTGCCTTTTCCTTGACAGGGCAGTATGAGAAGTTGAAAAGTCCTTGGCTGCTTGGCAACAACTAAAACATCAGTGTGTTATCAACATTATTCTCTTCCTAAATCCAAAACACAGCACTGTACCAGCTGCTAGGAAGAAAATTAACTCTATCCCAGCTGAAACCAGGACATCCAGCGTGGATCACACCCCCCAGGAAAACAGGCTGCACTTGCCTCACTGTTTCTATTTATCTGCACCCATCTGCTGTCATTTTAGGCACTTCCAGTCCCTAAAGGGGCTACAGGAAAGCTGGAGAGGGACTGGTGACAAGGGCAGGGAGTGACAAGATAAGGGGGAATGGCCTGAAGCTGAAGGAGGGACCATGTGGATTAGATCTTAGGAAGAAATTCTTCATGATGAGGGTGCTGAGGCCCTGGCAGAGGTGGCCCAGAGAAGCTGGGGCTGCCCCTGGCTCCCTGGCAGTGTTCAAGGCCAGGTTGGATGGGGCTTTGGGCAACCTGGGCTAGTGGAGGGTGTCCCTGCCCATGGCAGGGGGGTTGGAACTAGATGGACTTTAACATCCCTTCCAACCCAAACCATTCTCTGATTCTAGGATGATTTTGGGGAACAGTCCATGTTCCCATTCAGAATTTATTTGTATAGCACTCGTGAACTCATGGGTTTGAGCCAACTGGAATTTCTTTGTGCTGCAGTAATACACTTAATAAAAGAAGATGGCAGATGGAAAGTACTGTGTTCATATATTTCATGTACTTTCAATTCCCTTATTTCAGACCTTTATGTAGATAGGTTTCATGTAACAAAGTTCACTCAGTTGCTCATTTTCCACCTAGCTTACATTTCTCCATTTGGGACTTCTTCACAGCTCATGAGATAATGAGTGTACAGCCACAAAATCCACCAGGATGTGAACTAGGAATATGCAGTGGACCAATAAAACTAAAGAAGTGGAGGATGAAGGCCCATCAGCTGACAAACCCTACTGGCTGCTTTGCAAGATGAAGATCTTCCCCCCCCACCCCAATCACTGTTCTCATCCCCATAAATGTTTCAGGCCACTCACCATCTTGCTGAGACTCAGAAATAAGAATGCCGTAGAAGGTGATGAAAAAAACCCCCTCAATTTGTTAAGATGGAGAAAGTTAAAAAGTCCATAGAAGCAGAACTGGCTCAAGGCTCCCCACAAAAGGACAAGTAAATTTTGCTGCCTTTGGGCAAGAAAAGGGTTAGTCCCATCAGAGGATGGAGAGGGAGAGAGAACCTGTTGCGCTCTCACTCACATCTGCTATCACACACTCCTCAGCAGCTGCCAATCTGGTTTTCCAGCACTTGGGCATTGGCAAAGCTGGCGCTCGTCGTAGCTCTTTAGCCATCGTCAGGTGTCTGACGTTCAAGGCAACTGCTTCATTCTCCTGTGCCCAGAGCTGACCCTAGGTGGAAGGATCCAAAGCAGGGAGGAAGCAGTGAGAAATTAAGTTGATTTTAGAGAAGGCAACGTCTTTTAGGAAAGATGCAACCAAGTTTGAGTGCCCAGAGAGGAAGAAGTTGCAGATGGTAGAGATCTTGAGAAGAGTCAGACCGAGTTTGTAGTACTCGTTAGCCAGGCCAAAACCAAACTGAAGCAAGCTAGGAAAGACACCTTTCCCACCACCATGCAGAAGAGGAACAGATAAACATTTTTTCAAATACATGGCAACACATATTTGAGTGGTAAGACCACTGTGACATACAGCACCCTGCAAAGATGCCTAAGCTGTTTCAGAACAGGGATGGAGGAAGGCCTGGAAAAGAAGTGGAGATTGTCCAGGCCTTTCTCCACACTAACATGAAGATTGAGCTGCTGAGATACTAACGATCATCCCTGCTCCATGCTATTCGGCAGCCTATAAACCCATCGGCTTACTCAGAGCTAACTCAGATCTTCACACAACACGAGACAGCAGGACAAAAATGTCCCCAGAGAGGCTGCCAGCAGGCTGTGGATCTACCTGTGCAGAGAAATAGTACCCATTCCTCAAAGCAAGTTTACTTTTGTATCTTTATTTTGTCCAAGATACCACTTAGACGTTGTGTTCACGTTAGGAATTAGATGCCTGCGTTCCCCTGATTTCTGTTTGTGCCTTTGAAAAATGTCTTTCAGATCTCAAGAGTTCTGAAAACCCTCCGAGCAGGTCCAAAAGTACTTCAAGGTCATGGCCGTGGAGCCGGGCTGTTTGTTTCACTGTGGGTCTGAGATGGAACCAGGGTCTGGTGCAGAGCAAAGCTGTTCTGTGCTGCCACCTGTCGCTGTGAAAGCCCCATCCACAGAGCGGACCAGACCTCGCCGCTCCTGCGCACACACTGAAATTCTGGCATGCAAAAGGGCAGAAAGCAACCTGCAGCCTGGTTTAAAGGTGGCTTTGGGGGTGAAGAGGGTTAAAAAAATAAAATTTAAACAAAACCCCTTCATAATCTTAAAGGAATGTTCGTTACATACACACAAAACCACTTTATTGCTTGATTTAAAAAAAGGGGGAAAATAAACACGTGCAAATTTGAGCGTTCAGATTTAGGAATCGAAATGGCCAGATTGAGTCCTCAACAGAAACTTTCCCAAGTTGCAAAGCAGCGGAAGAAACTTTCACAGTAAACAGAATGGTAACTCCACAGTATCTCCTGTGCATTTACACAGCGCGCTCTGGGATTTACCTGCAAACCTTCCTAAAAGGTGCAGCAAAGGAACAGTCCCATTTGATCCTGAGATCAGTGGCCAAAGACTCACAGGATTTGCCCACAGCCATTCAATATCCTTTGCTACCCACAGGCTCAACATATCCCAGGCATCGCTCCCAACCCTGAACTCGCAAACCAGCACCCAGGATCTACAGCACATGTGAAACAGTTGCTCAACACAAATACACAAATGTGTACTTGTACAGGTCATTAAGTCTTCATTTGCTACAGCAGAACTCACAAAATAATCTATAGGAGACATCAAAAAAACGTATGAAATTCAGAACTGAGGTTTCCATCATAATTGCATTCGTACAGCCCTGAGTCAAAATGACAAGTTTGGCACTTTCTATATAAAATTCTACAGAGTCTCGTGTTCACATGTATGTTAACCCTTAACACTGCAGGGTGGGGCAGCAAGGCTTGGTGTTTTCTGTGACCACTTAATTCTAGAAAATATTTAACTTTATTGAAGTTCAGAAAGGACAATTCTGGTTTGTGTAACACGAACGCGACCCAGGTCCTTACCTCTCCATCAGTCACTGCAGAATAATTGACTTGTGCGACGGTAACTGTGGTAGGCAACTCTGAGGCATCGGCCAGTGTGGCAACTGTAGCACCAGTGCCAACCTATGGAAGTCAACAAAACGCAGCTGAATGCAGTTGTTATTGCAGGAAAATAATTCAGGTAAGTAGTTCAGGCAAAGGGACATTCAAATGCTCTCAGATTAAAAAGCATCACACCCACAGAGAATAATAGTAATTGCAGAGCTCAGAAAATAGGGAGCTGTCTCAAAGAGCTGGGGGAGGAAATCACATGCTAGAGCCACATTAATCTATGGCAGCTTCCAGAGCAGATACGGCCCAGAAGCAAGTTTGGCACAGCCCTCGTGCTGTCCCCTACATTCACACAGGGGACGGAATCCTTGCGATTTCCCCAGTCTCACAAAGAGCAGCTGCGGGACACCACTGCTGCTCCCAGGTGCGAGCGTAGTGTGCAAGTGGAGCCAACACGCTTCTCCCACGAGGTGGAAGTCTCTTAAAAACCCACCGAGTAGTCCTAGATCAGAACAGCCTGCACATCAGCCCTCATTTATAACGCTCCTTGCTTACCATTCACTGGGTCTCTCATCTCCAGGCACTTGGCAAACATTAGCTCATCCTCAATACCCCATTGCCTTTGGAAATTACCTTTTCCCCATTTAACAGCTGGGAAAAGACAAAGGCAGGGAGATGTGCAGCTTTGTTTCTAAGGAGAATTAAACCTATAAATGCCAGAAAGTCAATGGGATCTCAGGTGCCCAGCACCTAAAAGAACACTAGTGAAAGGGAAAATGTACATTAGCAGGTGAGCAAAGTCTGCCGGGCCTTGGTGGGGGGAACAGAAAGCTGTAGCAGTCACTGAAAAGCTTTGGAAAAAATTAAAAAATACCAACCCAACCCAAAACAAAAAACAACCCCCCACACCATACTTTTATCTTCATGGTTCTGAGATGAGAACAGCCAACAGAAAATTAGGTTTGAGACTTCACTAAAAACATGATGCTCAAGAGAGGCAAACCGCTGGGTCAGTTAGGTAGGAGAGGGCAGTGGTGGTTTGGAGGCAGGGGCGCAAGGGCAACTGAGGTTCAAACCAAACACCCACGAGGAGCTCTTGGGGAAGTTTCAAGAGAGCACTTAAATCCTTTTCTGCCCTGAATCCCCCTATTCAAAACAGCGTAAGAGGCATCCTTACCGCAGGGGCATCACAAGGATAAATATAGATTTGGGGTGTGTAATATATATATTACACTTTAGGTGTAAGATGAAGAACAGGAGGCACAGAAATACCTAATGCCGTAGATTAAGATACGTTTCACGCCAGTAAAGAAAGGCAGTCCCACCACCTCTCCTCCCATCACTCCATCCCATTGCCACCACAGGAGTTGTGTGGCTACATGATGAACTGAATTTGTTCATAAATGGGTTTGTTAAATCCAGGTCAGGTCGCTGAATTGCTTGACCAAATAGCTGCAGAAATGCTTGAACCATTATAATAGGAGAACAAGGGATGGGAGTGGGGAAGAGAGAGGATGAGACTGCTTCTTTGGGTGGGAGCACTGGGTTAACAAGTCTGCAGGCTAAGACATACAGATAAAGACAAAATTCTTAAAGGACAAGTTAAGCTACCAAAAGGAGCTTGCTCGAAACCACCTCCCTGACAAAGGCAACTCGATCCCAAGTCAGCTGGAAAAGGAAAAGCGGAAGGGTTTCACTCACCTGGATGAGAGACACAGTGCCATCAGGGTTACTGAAGGTTTGTACCACCGTCTGTGACGGCACCAGGTGTGCTATACTATGTGTGGTCGTAGTCTGCTGCTGCGTCTGCTGATCCTCAAACGCGTAGAGCAGGTCTTCACGCCCGTGCTGCTTGTAGCAGTTCTTCACGATAGTCCGCAACGCTTGGGTCCATGACACCTACCAGTAGAATGAACAAGGGTGAAGAGTCAGGGTAAAAGAGTTTTCTGAACCACTGTAGCGCTGCTACTGCTGCGATCCGCATGCGCATCTTTACTGGGTTTTATTGGGCAGTTTTCAACAAATTCTCAAACAAACAAAAGGCCCCAATATCTAAACCCCCTCTCCTCATCGCCGCCTTTCCCAAGACTCAGAAATCACCCTGGAGAGCTATTGCATTGCTGTGTACTGATATAGAATGAGCACAATTGGCCAAGGGAAAGGAAAGCTTCTCAATGAAATCTGTTTCGCCAGCTTTCAAAGAATTCTAACGAAGGGATTGGGGCCGACAAGTAGAAAACCTTCCCTACCTGGGAAAGCACGGACTGCCACAATGCCATTTCCAGCCTTACTAGGCATCCCTCCCAGCCCAACCAGACCTACATCAGCCTCCACAAGTCCTGCCCCTTGCACACCCTGGTAGCTTTCTTTGATTATCTTTGTGACAGGTTGGTAGAAACATCGCCTGCATACAGCATCCATGGCCGTAACTGATACCCAAGACTTTTTCACCCATTTTTTTCATTTTTTCCTGGCTCCACTGCACATCCTCGACCGCTTCCCTTTAAGTACAAAGGTCCCTGCTGCTCAGGATGGGATGGTATCCCTTCAAAGGCTTCAAGAGGCCGTGATACAGACTCTACGGTAAATGACCTGCGTATTGGAGAGTAGATTTGTCTCAGGCTGTGTAGGCTGCTTTGTAAGGCCACAGAGGCAAGCGGGTTCTGCAGCTAGTAAAAAGGGCACCCGCTGCACAAAGAGATGTAGTTCAAATACTTGCTCGTCACACAAACCCAGCAGGGACAGAGCAGACTGAAGGTTACACCTCTCTCATCTCATTGCTCTCCCAGACTGAATGTCTGACACGAAGTCAAGGAAAGGCCGATGTCATAGTTTCTTCTGTCACTCAAGGAGAAAACTATTCCCACAAAAACTGGTCGCAAGCCCCTGTACTCAATTTGAAGGCAGACTGACATGGGATACACACCCGCTGCTTCTGTTCCTCTGTGCGGACATCACTGCGAACGTTGGCCCATGGAATGTCCTCAGGCCACCAGATGGGCTTGCAGCTTTCCTTCCCCCAGCCTGGTTTCCCACGACCCGTGGAATACTTCAGCATCTCGGGGATGAAAGCTCGCAGCTGTGCCTGGAACAAACCACATAAGAGGGTTAAAATTTTTTTAGGAACTCATCTCTCTGGTAGTTTTGAGGTGCATAGTACAAAGTTATTACATTTAACATCCATCCTTTTGGAACTATCAACTGGAAGATGCCTGAATGCCTAAGGACAAATGCTTTACCATCTTATCACAGAATCACAGACTGGTTTGAGTTGGAAGGGACCTCAAAGACCGTCTAGTTCCAACCCCCTGCCATGGGCAGGGACACCCTCCACTAGCCCAGGTTGCCCAAAGCCCCATCCAACCTGGCCTTGAACACTGCCAGGGAGCCAGGGGCAGCCACAGCTTCTCTGGGCAACCTCTGCCAGGGCCTCACCACCCTCACAGGGAAGAAGTTCTTCCTCCGATCTCATCTCCACCCCCCCCCCTTCAGCTTAAGGTCATTCCCCCTCATCCTGTCACTCCCTGCCCTTGTAAACAGTCCTTCTCCAGCTTTCTTCTTCCAAGACTCAGCTAAGAACAGCTTAGTAGCATGTGGAAGAGCAGAAACAAAATTAAGTCAGCCAATTTCAACAATAGGGCCCAAACACACACTGTATTAACACACTTAATGGTTCAAACACTACCATGAAGAGAGCTAGCCAACCTGAAAAGGAGAAAAAAAAAAATCAGAATAATGCAGAAAAACCCCCACACTCGATGTCCCCACAGCGACAAAAACTCAGACGTGAGCTGACGTACATTTTACAGAGATGCTGCAATGAGGATGGAGCTTCAGCGAGCTGCTCGAATGTAAAAACCACAATCTCACACATACACATCTCTACCCCTGCAGAATATGAGACACACTGGATTAATTTCCTGAATCTATTTTTAACTTTTGCCATAGTGGGGATACCTTTCAACCCAATTTTACTTCTCCTTTGCACCTGCAAAAACTGGTCAACTAGTGACCACCTTTACCATCAGGATACAATACCTTAAAAAAATAGACTTGCCAAGCAAATTGAGCAGATACGTCACCAAGAGCAAGTAATATCCTTAGTGTTATAAAAAAGAATACAAAACTCACACAGGGGCTTACGACACATTTGGTTTTTGTACCGGGAAGTGCCTGGAGCCTCAGGAAAAGGTTGGTTCAGCTGCAGAAACACAGCAGAAAGAGAAGGAGCACTCACAACCTCATACGTCAGACAAAACCAGGTAAAGCTAAATAGCTGCATTTAAGAACACCTCCCTGCATCCCTTCAGAGCTTTAATAGCAAGTTATTTGAGGTTGTGACAGTGCCACTGAGAGTCCCTGGGCCACCTCCAACCGAGAGATGCCTGTAGGTTCAGGGCTCTTGAGCACCAGACCACGGAAGAGCCATGGAAGAGCCATGGAAGAGCACACCAGGGCCAGCATCAGTTGCTGCCGCAGCCACGATGCAGTCCCAGCTAGCAGAGACACGGAGGACTTCTCACCCATCCCTGATCTTCTCCCATAAGAGTATCCCTTCCTCCCAGGCATGGTCCTGCTTGAATAAAATCCTGGTTCCAGTCTGGATATTGTATCCATTGGCTCCAAGCTGTAAATCAACACATTTACAAGCTGCCTTTTCCACATTAGCATAGGGAGTATGTACTAAAGTCCCCTGTAATGTTGGTCTGACGGAGGAACGGAGACTGCAGATTGTCTCTGCAGAAAGCCTGAAGGCCCTAAGCACACCTCTCAATGCATCAGGATCTGCCACGGCTCTGTCGGACAAAGGACTGCTCTTCAAAGTCAGAGCCCAACTGGAAGACATAACGTGGGCCCACACAGTTAAATAGAAAAATTGAAGTGTGTTTTGGTAAAAAGAAAACAATTTATTTGTATGCATGACTTATACATTGCAAACAGTTTGCAGTAGTGGCTAGGGACTTTAAAGGCAATACAAATCCAGTATACTTGTAGATCCATATGTAGTGCATCTGCTGCACACCCTAGAAGAACCACCTCTGCTCAGAGAAGCAGCTGCACTTCAGTTCCTCCACTCCATGGACATCCCGAGTCATCTCAGTGAAGCCATACCAAACCCCTGAATTATAAGTGGAGGCACAAAACCCCCACTTTGGTGCCCTTTTTCCCAGCCCAGGCCAGGCCTGTCCATGATGCACCGTCCGCTGCAGGGCCAGCAGTCACCCTGACGTGCTTCAGGTTCCCTGGTCGAGGCCCCATTTATTTACATAAACCTGCTAATAGCATTGAGTTGCCTGGTGCAAAAACAGTTAAAAGCTCCTTCCCAGAATTGCTATCTGCAAGCCATGCTCCTTGTTACCAGATGGATTAATTACTAGTCCTAGGGAGTTCAGCAGCTCAAGCTACTCAAGGCACTTGTTAAGGAGGGTTTGCCTTTAATCCGCCAGGGAGACAATCAGCAGCAGCGTTACAACCTGCTCCAGTGCGAGGACTTCTCTAATTAGTGCCATAACAAGACCTCACCCGGGCAGCTCGCATGGCTCCGACACAGGCTACAGCACTGAGACAAAGACCCTGCATCTCTCAGGGCGCAGCCGGGAAGAACCGGTATGATCGCTTCATCTGTGGGAGCCACGCGTTCAGCTGACTCCATCCATGAATCACCCAAAAAATCAAACCTCTGCTAAAAAAAAAAAAAAAACAACAAAAACAAACCAAAACAAACTGCAGTTCGCTCCAACTTGCATAGTTTCTAGCTCTGGAAAGGGTTCATATAATCTCTAGCATGGAGAGTTTGAGAGATACTGTAAAAAATGTTTCTTTGACACCCTTTGATATGCAGACCAAGTGTCTTCTAAGTTTTAACACTAAGCTCAAGTGTTAGTGGTAGAGAGTTAATCCTGCTTCTACCGTTCGCAATGGCCCAAAGCACAGATAACTGCGCTCCAGTGCTGGAACAATGAGTTGTCCTGCGTGCAGAGCAATCCTCTGGTTTATGTCCTGCTAAGGAAAGTGGTTTCTAGAAGGGAGCAAAACTTGTGCTGAGAATTTTCTACCTGTCCCCCCAGCTCAGCCTCAAGATCTCCAAAAAGCAGCATCTGGCAAAAACAAAGTTAAGTCTATGCAGGACTTTGGCTGCACCTGGAAGTGGGAGAGGGCAAAGCAGCAATTGCAGCAAAGCACCCAGGTATTTTGTTCACTGGCCCTTCTTTTTACAACAGCCAATTTTAGACTAAATGTTCTTTAAGTTTAAAAGTTCCAATTAATGTTTAAACATTCACATTAAAAAGCCAGGCATTTGTCAAGGCAGCAACCAAGCTGTCACCATGAATTTCCTGTGAAATTCATTTCCTGTGAAAACCTGTATGGCCCTGACCGAACTCTGCGAGGTCTCACTGCAGTGTGCGTTCTGACGAGCAGGATGAGAGCAGGCTTGCTGTTGTCATAAATTCATCACGACAGAGACAAGGCAGAGGGTCAGCCTGGGTGTCCTCAACAAGAAGCGACAGCAGTCAGCAGACGCAGTAGTTTATGGCCACAGGAATCAAACCCAAAATTAAAAACCAGGTCATCAGTGTGAAAAGCAGGAGGTCCTGTGGGTCTCCCCACGCAAGCATCTGCTCACAGATTTACTTTTGCATTAGCAAGACTCACACCTGGGCGATGGGGTCCAGCACTGCAGGATCATCCTGGCCCCTCCATGGAGAGGATGTGACAGCCACAAACTGAGTTTAGTTACTGTCTTTCAGTGCTTGGCTTCTCCTCCATACAAACTGTCATGTATATAAAGATATCTGCTGTTTGTGCCAAAGCTTTTTGCAGAGCAGTATGCAAACAGACGTCAAGATGATTTTCGAGAGGCCCAGATAAACTTTGTTGGCTTGTATAAGCAGACTGCAAATCACAGGGGCATATTACGTTTAAAAACAGTCAGATTAAAGGACAAATCACCTGTTCAGAAAAGCACAAACAAGTTTAGTGACCTTGGTGAGAGCCAAATGAAGCATCGACCTCCGCACTACCCAATCTTACTCCTTAATCATATCAGCGAGTAACTGAGAACAAGTTCAGAGACAAACTCAGCTCTGACGTATAGTGTTAACGTAGCCGAAGTCCATAAAGCAAAGAGATTTCTCTGTGTAATGGCTGCAGGCTAAGAGCCCCGCTGTGATACATTTTTTTTTCTGCACAGCTGAGGTGGGTGATGCTCTCCATTCGCAAGTTTATAGAAGCATCTTTGCTCAGGCTAGCAAAGGCTTTATTTCCCTCAAGACCACCAGGGAAGCAGAGCAATTAAAAGGAGAGTTATTTTCATCTCCTCGTTGAGGAGCTGACGCCTCTACCACCTGCCTGCTGACACCTGCAGCTGCTGAAAGCAGAGGCCTCGTTTTTCCACTCCCCATGACACACCTCTTAATTGTGCTGCCCAATTATATTTATAAATATTTTGGTTTTCCGTAGGGCTTTGCGCAACTTAGTTGAAAAAGCTCATTTCTTGTTAGCAAATACAAAGAACTACGGTGGCAGCTCTGGGAATCAAAGTTCCTACAAAAAAATGATGGCACCTCTAGCAGTGCAACAGGTTGCAGTGATGTAGGAGCCAGAGTTACCATCCACTCTCTCAAACGAAGGTATTGCAAATTGCAATTGCGGCAAAAAAGAAGCAGATAGCGTCCTCATCGTATTCAACATATCTGTGTTTTGCTTCTATTTAAAGTTTGCCCCCAAGTCTGGCAAAAACTATAAAGCAGCTGGATACTTTCAGCAACAAAATCATCTCCTAAGCACCACGTGCAGCATCGTACTCCTTGAAAATTTTACAGGAAGGAAGAGCTGCTGGGTTGTGAAAATCCACCCAGGAGTCTGCAGTCCTGTCCATTAATTCTAGTGCTCTGTCCTCACGTGGCCCGCAGCCATTCAAGGATCTCAAAAAAATTTTCAAAGACATTTACAAAACATCATCCCTATATGATGTGCGGGAAACCGAGGCAGTGCAGCACTGGTTGCCCACAACGTGCGTGGACACCACAGCGGCTGGGCTAACTGGGACAGCGATGGTTAGCCAAAGAGGGCATAAAGAGCCTGGGAACACAGGGGTGTTGCATGGAGTGGGGGGAAAAGCCCTGCCAGCAGCTAGCACGTTGGACTGGAGAGCTGCTTCACACGTGGAAATGCAGAGCAATCAAACACCAGGGGCAGTTTGGCTTGGCCAAATCTTTGTGCAAGGTTTCCTGAAGACCAAAGCCACGTCACGTTTGGAAGGAAAAAACCCTAAACAAACACACAACCTTATTTTTAACGTATCCTGAAAAGTATTAGTATTTTATCCATAGAATTCTATGGATATTGCTATTTTATCCATAAAATAGAAGGAAAAAACACTTTAACCCTTTGATGTCAAAATATTTAATTTCCAACTCAATCACAAAAAATAAAAAATATGCATTATAAATCCAGCTGAAGGCTTCTCTGAAGAGAGAGCTTGTCACTTTTATTGCTGCTTTGATGGCATGTGCACCATTAACAGCCAAACAGTTGACAGATCTTTATATTGGCCCTTTTATACGTGCACATATTCTGCACACTGCAAAACAGAAAAGTTCGTCAGATGCGTTACTGGATTGCAACAACCTCACGTCCTGATCTCATTCATCCACACTCGTTTCTCTCATTTCCTTCCACCACTCCACCAGCAACAGCTCATTTGCTTTGTTCCTTCCTAAGAGCCCACGTGCGAGTACGAGCACCTCCAGCTTCGCTACCCACACTGCGCTAGGACGGCCTCCCCCTGCCCGAGCAAACCTCCGCACAGATGTAGTCTTCTCCTTAAGTTCTAGATACTTGTCTTGCTGTTACCCTGCTTAGTTACTAAAATGACGAGGCCATAAAGAATAAACACAAACACAAACATTTTGTTTGCCAGTACAAATGAACTCAGAGCTACCTATCTGTGATCTTTTGGTGGTCTCTCATTTTACTTTCAAAGTATAATGTTTCAATTTTTTACTTTTCCATTTCCACGGGAAACAGTGATATAAAACAAAAGCTGCCAAAAGCAGCTCTGGCAGATACCACCTCTCACAGTGGCTTAAAAATCTAGCAACTAAGTTTTGTCTTGTGTTGTCATGGATTAGGAACACGATCTGTTATTGGCCAACACACAGTAGATTTCTTTGTGAGATTTTATTGGAAGTGTGAGCTTGTCCGAGTCCACCTAAGTAATGGAAATAGTGTTTTGACCAGAATGTTATCTTTCGGCAGAGCACAGAGGAAATCTGCAAGTCTTTGCACTACTACACCACCTCTTTGCATGTCTGACCTTTCCATCTTGCTAGTCCCTCTGAAGAAATTGGCTTTCAGCATTTACAATTCGTTGTGGTGCATCAGACCGAGTGTACCCAGACCCTCCAGCAAACTATTTAAAGTTTGCCACCAAGTCTGGCAAAAACTATAAAGCAGCTGGATGCTTTCAGCAACAAAATCATCTCCTAAGCACCACGTGCAGCATCGTACTCCTTAAAAATCTTACAGGAAGAAAGACCTGCTGGATTGTGAAAATCCACCCCAGTGTCTGCAGTCATAGAATCATAGATTCAGAGAATGGTTTGGGTTGGAAGGGACCTTAAAGATCATCTAGTTCCAACCCCCCTGCTGCGGACAGGGACACCCTCCACTAGCCCAGGTTGCCCAAAGCCCCATCCAACCTGGCCTTGAACACTGCCAGGGAGCCAGGGGCAGCCACAGCTTCTCTGGGCAACCTCTGCCAGGGCCTCAGCACCCTCACAGGGAAGAATTTCTTTCTAACATCTAATCTAAATCGACCCTCCTTCAGCTTAAACCCAGTCCTGTCCATTAATTCTAGTGCTCTGTCCTCACGTGTCCCGCAGCGATTCAACGATATTAAACAATTTTTCAAGACATTTACAAAACATCATCCCTATATGATACGCGGGGGAAATCCTGTCCATTAATTCTAGTGCTCTGTCCTCACGTGGCCCACAGCGATTCAACGATATTAAACAATTTTTAAAAGACGTTTACCAAACATCATCCCTATATGATACGCGGGGGAAACCTGCCTGCATTCAGGTCCTGCACTGCAGGGGAAGGAGATTTCCCTACAGACGATTCCTCACACACCAAGGGCGCTTCCCTGGGCGGGTCCTCTCCACTTTCTCCTAGCAATAATGAGGTCAGCAAAGGGCTGGAAAGAGTCCTCCACATGCCTGGGGCAGGTGACTCCCTGTCTCTGTCAGAAGTATCTCACTCAGGGTCTGATCTGGAGTTAAGCCACTGGCAAGTTCCCCTCTGCTCCAAATCACAGCAGAAAATAGGAGGGAACAAACTAAAACACACGAGAAAAGTCCAAGTTAGGATAAGCCAAAATTGTACTTCACAAGTGACCTTCCTGACCTCAGTGCCTAAAAAATCACTGCGAAGTGCAGAACAAATAGCTACCCTGTTCAGAGTTCATGGGAGGTGACAAAAAAGGCTCAAAGGAGAATGCTCCCAGCAGCCTGGGCCACAGTCCTTACCAGCATCTCTACTGTTTCATGTAGAAAATAAGCACCAATAACAAAGCTTCACATCTAACTACTATCTGAGCTGTTACAGTCCCATGGGAAAGAAAAGATCAAATGCATCCCCTGGAGATGTAGACATAAGCTCCACTGCAAAATAACAGGCTGTGACTGCAAGACGCCAAATCTCTCTCTCTGGTTCTGCCAAGCTTCTGCCATGTCTGGCTGCTTACCTGGGTCATCTTGTCCACAGAGACGGGAATGCCATCGATGGTGAGGGGCGGCAACTCTGAGTTAACCTCCTGAGGCGCAGGAGCATGCTCCGCTAGTGCCGACTCCAGGTCTTCCAAAATCATGCTCTTGTACTTGCGTACCTGCGGGGAATTGTTAAGCTCAGGTAAACAAGGTAAGGAGCACCAGGAGAGGCGAGGGCAAGGACATGGGGCCAGCCACCTTCCCCAAGGTGCTGCAGAACAGAAGGAGCAAACGACGCCACAGCTGGCAAGAAAAAAAATACCCACTGGCCCCAAAGAATTGGCCGCATCAAAGAGCTGATGATGAAACATCAAGTAACACTGGCAAGTGGAAGTATTTACAGAATTAAAAGAAAAGTTCTGAAGCAAGACTTATCAGGGTCAGGATGTGCTCTATTTACTGTCTGGTCTGCAACAAGAAGCAAGCACTGACAGCTGAGCTGAGTTCAAACACATTGTCACTACCTGCTCCCTCTGATTTTTAATCCAGGACATTCAACCCTGGTGAGATGCGCTAGGGAACCATTCATGCAGAGAAGACAGGACCTCGGTGCTACACTCATGTCCATACACTCTCAACTCCCATTTCCAGGGTTTTAAACGTGACTTTCAGATCACCACCAGGCTTGCAAGGCTGCCTTGAGCAGAATGAAACCTGCGGAGAAGGTGAGCAATTTATTACATAGCTTTTCCTACAGACACCTACCACATTCTCCAAGGGTGCAGCACCAAATACTTTAAAGACGGGATTGGGTTTAGAGGGTGAGATGCACAGAACGATGGCCTGCTGCCCCACTCTGGTGGTGTACTCATCCAGCGTGGCTCGGAGCTTCCTGAAACAGAGATATAAACCAGTGAATAGGTATCAGCTGAAAGCCCTGTAGAAACACAACCCCTTGCATTGTAAACTCCCTTTCTTAATGCTATCCATTCACAAACCAGGTGAGAAACGGAGCCCCAGCTGGTCAGATTAGCCACATATACTGCTGCTTACTCCATTCCCGCAGGCCTGCTGCGTTCCCTGCAGTCACCCAAGAGCTCAAATATCAATTATTCTCCCTTCTCTCCTTTCTCCATTAATGTAAAAAGAGAAATCACCAGAGCAGCACAGCTAGGACAGCAAGAGTCTGCATTTCCACTCTGTCACTAAGTGTATTAGCAATACAAAACTTGTAAGGTAGAGAATTTGAATGATTCAACAGAGAGGACTGCAAACACAGATTGTTTTACATCCAGCCTCGTAACAGCACATTGCCATTCTCTAGTACCAAAGTCCTGCTCAAACCAGAACTGTATGCATTCAACCGACAACTACACAACAGGCAAGAACCAGAAATATTGCAACAGCTCAGCACAGGAAACCAGGTATTCAGACATCTGCCACACCAGCAAGTCCCTTTGGAACAACCTCTCCATAGGAAGAAAACATTCCATCATATACTATCCGCCCCTTACTCACTTTTAAGCAATGCAGGAGAACATGTCAGAAACGTTGGCAGAAAACTCATAAAGCAAGAGAGAAGCAGCAGTTATCACCAGGTAACTCGAGCACTGCCATAAGGTGACACTTCAGTATCTGCCCTGGTCATTTCAGAACCTGCTGTTAGCAGCAGCCACATTGCCAAAAAGCACCAACACCACCACCAGCTACGCAGAGATCCCAGAATCAGAAACTGTAACTTCCCACTCGAGTCGCAGTGGCGTAAATATCAAGCACAAACATATTAAAGTGATCAGAGCGTAAATAAAAATGATGCATTTTGTAAATAACTTGCATGTGGTAAAATGAAATAGTTGCGTGAAGGGAGAAGTAATAATTCCTTTACAGAGGATTTTCTTTAAAAATTTATTGTTCACATTTCAAGAGAGAAAAGAATTTGCTCTTCAGAAATGCTGCAATAAACATGGCTGGATCAGCAGAGTTGGGACAGGAGGGAAAAACAGAATGAAGCTATAAAACAGAGGGAGTCCACTCCCAGGGAATATTATTTAACACTAACCTTGCTACATTTCATTCCAGTTTGATCGGGTGCAAAGGGTGTTGTGGGACTCAGAAGATGAGTAAGCAGAATATAAGGAAACCAAGTTCATTTCTCATCAACTTTACAAGAGTTAGAATAGGAGAGAAGGAGAAACTCTGGCCATCGCTATTTCAGTGCATTAAATGTGCATGCAGGAGGAAGCCAGCAAGTAATGGAGTGACAAATACTCCAACTCTTGTGAGATAACCCAATTAAATCCAAAACAATTTAAAATGCAAAAATTGCCTTGTTCCAAAACCTAGTAAATAGTATCAGCCAATATTTACAAATATTTCTTGAAGATGGAATTGCAGGTGATCTCTCCAGGCTTGCGGAAAGCCTGTGCAGTCACCTCAGCACCAGTGCTCCTAGGTGGCCATCAGGCGGGCAGACAGCCTCAGAGCACCTGTAATGCAACACCTGAAGGGCTACGGGTTTTTGCTGTCTACAGAGCAAGTTTCTAAAGCCAAAGCGTTTCAGCTCTGGCAGGCATCTCCCCTCGATGATTCTCCCCCACTCCTTCCAGGGATTCTCCTCCCAGGGTGGGTCAGTCTTCAGCACGGAGCTCGCACAATGTGCTCTGCTGGCAAAAGAAACTGAGGTACGCTCACACTAGATTTATTCACAAGATCATTTCATAATGCAGAAAAGACTTTTTTTGTTAGGTAGAGAAGTCCTTCGAGCCATTGCAGAGCTGGGATATAGGCTGTAGCTCCAGATTCTCAGGCTAGCTGCTGTTAAAGCCACTACAAATATCTTGCAAGGCAATGTTACCATGACAGATTCAACTTGCGACCAGCTGGGGTTAAAACAGAATGGTGGATCCTACCAGAATAGTCACATCAGTCCTGGCGATCATATTATCACATTAAAAATGAGTAGAGCTGCAATATAACCCATTTCTGCAAACTAAACCACAGCTCTTGGGTTCCAGAAAAGATGCCCCACAAAATCCCCAAGCTGGGCAACTTCTGGACAGCGCATGGTCTCACCATGCACGGCACGCGAGACAGATCGAGGATGCAGACTGAGGTGTCAGAGCACAGACAGGAGTCCTTACCGTAGCAAACGCGTCTGCTGCCTCTTGCGGATTGACGGGTTGGATTCAAAAACGTGTGGTCGCTTTCGTTTTTTACCCGTTGCCACAGCAGCAGCTGCTGCCATCCCCACAGGGCCTGAAAATCAAACCACAAAGGGTGAATCAGCGCACACAGCTCAGGAACTGGCCAGAAAGGACATCGCCATTGCCTGCCCTGCCAGGGATGGGTCCCAAGGGCTCAGCTCAAGGGTCTCCCCACCAGACCAGGGTGACCCGAATTCCTCGCTGAGCTCTTCAGCAGCCGGGATCCCTCCTCTCCAGCAGCAGAGACATGATCAAAAGGCTCCATTCCCCAGACTGGCAAATCCCAGCTCGGTCCCAGGTGAAAGTCACATATTTCAGTCCAGAGTTTTCCTTACAATCACGTAATTATGTATTTTAACTTCCAAACATACTGAAAAACTCTCAAGTACACCAAGACTTTAAATAACTGTCTGCAATTGAGGAAATCCTGGTGGTAGGGAAGAAAAGAGCAGGTACAATGCCACAAATACTGCTCAGACACCTCAACTAGAGCATCAGGAGTCTGAGACTTTCCCCAGGGATTAAGGATCAGTTCTAATGGGAAAGAAATTGAAAATCCAGAGTTCCTGGCAGTGTCCTCCTACAGCCCCCTGAAGAATAGTGGGGACCACAGCAGGGCAGCACTACTGCTTTTGTGATCAAACTCTAGACACAGAGTCTATTTAAGGGGATTTTTCAGTAAGTTAATCAGAAGTAAACCAAGTAACACACAGTGGATTGTGCTTCTATTGGTGATCTCCAGAAATGAGTGCAGGGTCAGAGTCAAAAAGCCCTGGGGTCTAATGCAGGCTCAAGGACGTGCCTTTGATTCCCAAGCAGACCTCACTTGCTCTGTGTGTAGTTCCTCTGCATGTCAGAGGTGAAAGATCACATCGGGGTCATAAAACCCACTATATTTTTGTTTAACAAAGATGTAGCTACTGGATCAGGAAAACCTAAGCTACCAATCAGTGGAAGCTGGTAGATGATAATGAAAAAAGCATCTGATGATACATTTTCTCTAGGCAGCTGCTCCGGGAGATGGGACGCCATAATGGACAGAGCTCTGGGCGACACTACAGAGCCAGGGTTTGTTAATCAGTAACGAACTACCTGAGCGCTACCCACGGTGGACAGCCCCTGCACAGGGAGGGCTCACAGGCAGGCGAGAATCACCAGATGCCCCTCCTGCAACCAGCACCCAGCACTGAAAAGGTTGTGTGCTAGAAGGGAAAGGGGAAATTAAGAATCCTGCAGGAGCTGAGGTTGGAAAATTAATAAGCAAAGGGTGTGGGATGCTCAGTGGGGTGGTGGAACTTCATAGGTTCGGTCAAGCACAAGAGCAGCTTTATTCATCAGATAAAGTCTGATAAGGAGTCAGATAAGTCTGTGAGTGCTTATTTATCACTGCATTTTTCTCCAAATGAGGTAGATCCGCTACAAGGCAAATCTGGAGGACATTTGGCAGGGGCTTCACTGGAAGGAATTTGTGATTCTGAAACACCTTCCCAGTCCAGATATGCCAGGACCCTTTGTGGCATCTCCTTGGGAAAGGCCTAGCCTGTAAGCTCCCTGGCTAAGCAAGATTGCGTAGCACTCCTGGGTTATTTTTGCTGTTGTTTATATGGGCCTGAAATAAACTTGCTCTTTGACATATTCAGTATTTTAGTTTCGTTATTTGAGTCAGCGTTTACCAGGGACCTTTTTAATTGTACAAACCAGTCTCTTATTCCCAGCACCTCTGTATTACACACAGATAAAGTGATACAAGATTCAAGCAGCCAGCAGACCTTGCAAAGAAGCCCTAGTAAAGCCAGAGCAATAAGGAAGAATTCAGAGCATCCCGTGAGGTGATGAGATCACCCATCACGTCTTTGCAACCTCTGCACATATGCTATGTTAGGAAAACGATGCCGAGCATCCCGCTGACTTTACCTGCCGCGGCCAGGTGGGCGGTGACCTCGTCAGCAGCCGTGGACCTTGCAAAGAAGCCCTAGTAAAGCCAGAGCAATAAGGAAGAATTCAGAGCATCCTGTGAGGTGATGAGATCACCCATCACCTCTTTGCAACCTCTGCACATACGCTATGTTAGGAAAACAATGCCGAGCATCCCGCTGACTTTACCTGCCGCGGCCAGGTGGGCGGTGACCTCGTCAGCAGCCGTGGAGTTGAGGATGTCAGAGTCATCGTAGGAGGTGTCCTCAGGCGAAGACGGCGAGTCTTCATCCGCGCTCAGCATGCTGTGCTCTGTGTAGGTGGCCACATGGACCTGCTGCACCTGCTGGGCCACTGCGTGGGCCTCGATGGTGGCCATGTGTTCTGTTTGGGTCACCCCGTGTTCTTCCATCAATAGCTACTGTCAGAGGAGACAAAAATTACAGGACAGGGGTTAGTGACATTGATGCACCATAAGGAAGGGCAGCCAAAGGTTTCTGAGCCAGCTAGGTGAGCAGGCCATGACGACGAGGGAACGGAGATTACCTCCGCTGGTGGCAATGATCTTCTGTGAGCGGGAAATAACGACTGCACCAGGAGCCAGAAGAGGAATTTGAAATTTAAGAATTTTGAAAAATCCGTACTTCCAAACAACATGGCAGAGCACCCAGAGGCAGTCATCTTTGCTGGAGGAAAGGTCTTTAAGGATCTTGTAGCCCTGAGATGATGTGCCCCACCCCCCACTGCATATTAAGAGGTTTGATCAAAGCTGGAATGCATATTTGCCACTTCAAGATCTAGCTTTCAGGGAAGATGCTCAAGGGCGATACACAATCTCTCTCCTCCAACCTCAGTAGCTCAGGACACAAACGAGGATGCCACTACAGAAGCTTACTGGCAGCAAGTTGCGTTCTACAGACCACTTTTGTTGCATTACTTGTTTAGAGTCCGGAAGCAGGCAAAATCATTACAACCCAAGCACAAATATTACATAAAGCATATTTATTTAATGCATCTAGTGGTAAACCACTGAGCAAAGTAGCAGCTTACATAGTCAGCAGGGCACTGGACCACACACCATGAACATAAATCTGTGCAGAGGAACAAGACAGGAGGTACGCAGATTGTGTCTACCATACATTTGTGGAAAAGGAACAGCACATCCTTAAGATATTTCAAACTACATTAGAAATATTAGGACATCAACCTTCAAAAACAGATTCCCCAAAACCCTCAGGGCAAACGGCAGAAGGAAAAGAGGTGACCAGCTGTAGGGAACAATAAAATATACTCGCCAAATCCTGACCCTGTAAGTATAGTCATTGAATTTAAAGCTCTTGATTGACACCCTCTTCGTGGAAACCTGTTCAGCTTGTCAGGAGGAGAGAGCTAGGAATAGGGACACAGACCGCAGAGTGGTCTCAGACACATGGCTGGGTAACTGCTCTATGAACTCAGACAAGCAGTGCCAACACACAGCTTTGTCCTTCAAAAGTTTTCAATAGCTTCTATTATCCATATCATGCCATAAATACACAACACTTTGCAAATGATTGTGGTGGTTTAACCTTGGCTAGTGTTAACCACCAGGTGTCCACCAAGCCACTCTATCACTCAGCAGGGCAGGGAGGGGAGAAAAATAAGATGGCAAAAAGCAACCTCAAACTCGTGGGTCAAGATAAAGGCAGTTTAATACTGCAAAAGCAAAAGGCCGTGCACAGAAGCAAAGCAAAAGCAAAAGATTATTCTCTACGTCTCATCAGCAGGCAACATTTGGCCACTTCCCGGAAAGCAGGGCTTCAGTACACGTAGCGATTGCTCCCAAAGACAAATGTTGTAAAAAACCAAATGCCCCCCCAGTTCCTCCCCCTATCTCTCAGCTTCTTATTGCTGAGCAGACGTCACATGGTGTGGAATATCCCTTTGGTCAGTGTGGGTCAGCTCTCCTGGCTGTGTCCTCTCCCAAGATCTTGCCCACCCCCTGCCTACTGCTGAAGGGGGGGGCAGAAATGTTGGAGAGACAGCCCTGATGTGTGCCAGTGCTGCTCAGTAGTAGCCAAACCACTGGTGTGTAATCAACATCCTGCTAGCTACCAAGACACAGCACAGCACTGTGAGGGCTGCTATGGGGAAAATTAACTCCATCTCAGCCAGCGCCAGTACAATGATCAACATAACAAAAACCTCTGCCTGGCAAAATAATCACCAGGCTTCTACTGCCCATAAAAAACCCCACATCCTGATGACCAAACCATGGAACACCATCGCAGGACTGATGAGACAATGAGACCCAGACCAGGAGAAAGCACTTTGTCAAGAGGATTATTTCGACCAAACTAACCAACAGTCATACTCAAAGGAGGAGTAACTGAGACATGGCAAGAGAGACCATTACAAAGGTGGGATGCTCCATGGAATAATCAGAGAACGGAGGACACCTCAGCTGAAGCTGCAAACACAGGGACAAACAGGGAATAGAAGATCAGGCAGGAGGCAGAAGAAGGTTAAAGGAGAGGACCAGAGTCTCGCTCTGAATTCAGGAGAGAGTACGAAGGGACAAGGCATGACCAAAGCTCTGGAGGAAGTATTTTTTGCAGCACCAGAAGCTCAGAAGCAAGGAAGCAGTTGCCATAGTCTAGACAACAAATGGAAGAAAAGGTGGAGTGGGGAGTGACTGGTATTTAGATGAATTTATTTCTGCCTCAAATCTACTGACCAAAGAGCTGAAATATGACAGATTTTTCCCCCCGCCCCCCATCACCAGCTGGTTTCTAAAGGCTTGTTTCCACATGCCTCAAAATGTCTTCTGCAACTTAGTGAACTGAATATTATGGACATTTATAAAACAGCTCTTCCAAAGGCAATTCCAACTTGCAGATACCAAAAATAGGGACGCAATTATTTCAGAGAGTGCTGTTCTCAAAACAGGACCCATTTTCCATGTTTTACTTAAGCGCATCTGTTTTTACAGGAAACAAAAGTTGCATCTCAAACAGCATTAAGAGAAAGCTTCCTGTTCAAGTGCCAGAGGCATGTAGGTTGTTGAACAGGGGATCAGATGAAGTTTCTGGTGTAGCAGCAGGATGAAGATATTGAAAGGAGACTTGGAATGAGCCAAAGTCCTTTGTGTATGAAGTCAAAACACCCATTATCATGAGAACAACACTCCATGCGTTACAACAACCAAACCATGCTGGTCTTGCCCTGCTTCACCCACAGAGAGAGTGGTTGCAACTCATCACCTCATCTGGACTTGCTCAAATAGCTGAGACTTTTGCAGGTTTTTTGTGTTCTCCCTGACATGGCTGTGGGCAATCAACCACTCTCCCTCTTGCTCAACAGATCAAGTTTCCCAACCATCCCATCCCAGGGTTTAGGATGAGTTAGCTCCATGTATTCATTTGCAAAATGAATTCATTCCTTCTACAGATACCGTATCAGCCTTTGTCTTCATGAGAAGCCAAATCGGACCTAACCATTTTGGCACGGTTTCTCATTTACTAATACAAAGAAATCCAGCTGCATCTTTCCAAAGCCTTACTAAACTTTCCAAAAAGCCAAAACCAATCTCCAAAGCATTTCACCCCGCCCAGCTCTGTCCAGTTAACCAACGAGTCAGACCTTAGAGGCCAAGATCCTCGGGAAGTACCAGCCTCCCTCTGCTGACCAGATGCCACAGCAACCTAACGTGGACATCATAATTAAAACCCAGAAAAGGGTCCAGGTTACAGAATCCCTTTATTTTCCATGTCTGTCTATGGCTGGTTTCTCTCCAATGCTATACGCACATCTAATAACAAGAATCACATAAAACGAATAGCTTCTACTAAGAGACTACTATTTCCACACGTAACACCAACTTCATTGTGGAGCATCAAAGTTAACTCCATTAATTTTGACATCTTCATGAGGGACAGTAGCAGAAGGGAACTGCGTGTATTTAGGCAGTGGATTTTTCATCCACAAGACACCAACAGTGCTCTAATGCACACCTACGTTCTAAATGTTAGGGTGATACTGGTTTAATACTGGTTTGGGTGTCCCAGCTTGGAAGAGTCAGTCTGGTTAAAAACAGGGACTTGGTCACATATTTAATTATGCAGCCAGCTGGTGTGTGACAGAGGTGAAGCATAGTCTAGCAGCTAAAACAAAGAAACAAGTATCAAGATACAGGTCCAGTACTGGAAGCTGCCCAGATACTAAGATGACCGTGACACTAGAATCACCCTCTGTACTGGGAAGGCTGGGAAAGAGGCACATCTCCTGTATTTACACTCCCACTAACATTACTACCCCAAGAAAGTGAATTTTTTTGTCCATGAAACACTAAGAGATCCCCTAAAAGCTCCTAAATAGTATGGATGGGAAACTAAATTCAATTTGGACCATGAACAGATGTGTCCCAGCTTCTGTTTTCTATCCAGGCGTGCAGTAGAGGAACTCGAGCCGTGGGACAACCGAAGTGCTGCTGTGAGACTGTTACAAACCTACTGAGGTTACGGCTAAAGCCAAATCACCTTCAAACTCACAATCCTCCCTAAAAGGCTGCTAGATTGAGATGTTGCTGTTGTCCGACGCTGTTTACAAGTCAGATTGTAATATTAGAATCATCCAAAAATAGCCGCAATTCAAATACCACCAGTAAGGAAGGGACTAAGATGCTGAGGTACATTGAAGTAAACTCAAAATCTCTAGTTAAAAAGATAAATAAATAAAATTCAGCCAAGCAACTTATTTTGCCATCTCCATAGAAAAATGAGGGGGGAAAAAAAAAGAAAAAATATTTCAAGCAAAACCTTAATGAAATAACTCAGCAGGCCAGGCCTTCCCAAGCCACCATGCTTTTTCTGAAAGGATATATTGCTGCTTTTCTCAATAGAGCAATACAATTTTAAGTACTTTCCATTTAAAAAAACTGTATTTATCCACAGAAAAATATAATCAGAATATAATTGACGAAGTGTACTAAACTTTTAGCTCATCAGGAGACAAGCCTGCAAGACAACGGATGCTTCAGATATTGTTCCCTTTGGAAGGAAACCTGCTTGAATCAAGCGGCAGTCTACACTCGATGCCACTGAAAACGTTGGGGTTTTGTAAATAAAATTGGTAGTAGACTGAAACTAGGTATTTCTGAGTCAGCAAGCAGACAGCTGGGTAAGCAACATCTATACTCCACACGTGCATTTCATCTGTTTTTTACGGACACATGTCCTGCTTCGATGCACAGTGTCTGGTTGAATGTTGGCATTTTTGGAAACAGTTATAAGCAATGACTGGGATAATCAATAGCAAGGGTCCTCACGTTTATTTAAAGATGAAGTCCACTTGATTCAAACAAGGCCTAATAACCATCAACCTACTACAAACTCTTTCTTCTCTCCACTGCCTCCCATTGTCCTGGTTTGGGCT